CTAGGTTCAAGTGATTCTCCTGCCTTATCCTCCTGAGTAGCTGGGATTACAGGCACCTGCCACCACACCCAACTAATTTTTGTATTTTTGGTAGAGATGGAGTTTCACCATGTTGGCCAGGCTGGTCTCGAACTCCTGACCTCAAGTGATCTACCCATCTTGGTCTCCCAAAGTGCTGAGATTACAGGCGTGAGCCACTCTGCCCAGCCAGTAAAATTTATTTATTTCCATTTCATATTTCAAAACAGTGAAGCTCATAAAAGTGACTTTAACAAGTTTGCTCAGCAAGTTTGAGGAGGAGCCAGCATTTGAACAGATATATCTTTGGAAGAGTTTCTCTTTCTACCAAACTTAGCGAGAAGGCCAAATTCTTGAGCAATGATATGTCTTGAAAGTCAGGGGGTCTGAGTAATATTCTGAGTTGGACTAGACCTGGGAGCAGTTGGATAAAGCTCTAGACTCCCATCCTGATCATTTAATACTTGAACCATCTTGCAACCCAGTCTCCACTTGTTGGGATTTTTATTCGCCACCTCCCATGCAAATGCTGTCTTTATACCGTGAGGACATTGAGGGAAGGAACTAGAATCTTATTCATGTTTGCTTTATCCCCAACGGCTTGCATATAAGAAGCCCTACACAAATACCTGTTTAAATGAATTGAATCAATTCATTAATTAGTACAAAAAAGTACTTCTTGAACACCTACTTTGTGACTTGTTTCATGCGAGATCAGTAACTGAGACACAGAGGCCCCCTGCTGTCGTGGAGTTTGTGGACCATATATAACGACAAACATTGAACGACTGATAATAATGGCGACGAGAGCTAAGAGAAGAGCTGTTTGCTATGAAAGCTAGAAGATGAATTTTCCAGCACTTTGATTTGGAACTTCGAGCCTCAGGAACTGTCAGGGAACAGTTCAGGCCTTCCTGAAGAAGAGACAGGTAATCTACAACCTAAAGTTCAAGGGGAAGGAGGCAAATGAAGAGGAAAAACTGACTCAGAGACCAGCACATGTACTAGGACAGAAAAGCATATTCCCAAAAGTACAATTTAAATCCTACATCTTCTTGAACTACCATGATTCAGAACCAAATCCAGCAATGATGCTGGGATTTTCAGAGGCAGTATTACAACAGATTAAAATTGTTACCTCATGTAGATAAATCATGCATGATTTTGAATATTTAGAATAGATCTTCAGTAAATTTTCTCAGCCTTGCTATAAAAGTAGGGAGTAGGTCCGTGGTTCTCTTTTAACTGAAACTAAACTTTTTATTTCATAGGCAGAGTTTCAATATCCTAATTGGTAACCAGTTTGGTTAAGAAAGTGGATTGTTGTGAACCCTAATGGTTGAAAACATGTTGAAAAGATTTATTCAGCCACAGCTGGTCTTTACCATGTGACTGCGCATTTTATAGTTAGTTATCATTGTACTTCCAGTTGTAAATTAAGTCTTTATTCAATGGAATTTTTCAAGGAGTTGTTATAGAAGGTATCCTGTGGCCAGGTATGCTATTCCAAGTTGTAGAAAATATAATAAATTATATTGCTTTATGGCAAGCACTTTATACATATCATTAAAACAAGATGTTCTCATGGGCTATAATTTTATGAATTTAAAGTTTCACTTAAAACTTATACATATATAAAAACTGCCAGAAAGATACATGTTTTCATTATACATAGAAAAATATTGAGCAATCACTGATTAATCCTTATGGGATATTGCTATATACTGAATTGTGCACTCTTAAAACTCATATGTTGAAGCCCTATCCCTTGGGCCTCAGAATGTGACTGTATTTGAAAATTGGACCTTAAGTGAGGTAATTAAGATTTAATGAGGTCCTAAGTGTGGGACCCTAATCCAGTATGACTGGTGTCTTCATAAAAGAGAAAGAAGATGCAGATGCATGGAGGAAAGGCTGTGTGAGGTCACAGTGAGAAGGTGGCCGTCTGCCAGCCAAGGATAGAGGCCTCAGGTAAAATCAAACCTGCCAACACCTTGGCCTCAGACTTCAGCTTCCAGAATTGTGAGGCAATTGACCTCTGTTACTTAAAGCACCCAGTCTATGGTATTTTGGGAGGGCAGCCTGTTGTAAACTGTGTCCCCACAAAACTTGTATGTTGAAGCCCTAACCTCCAGTATGACTATATTTGGAAATAGGGCCTTTTTGAGGGTAATTAAGGTTAAATGAGGTCATAAGGGTGGACCCCAAATCCAACAGGGCTTATGAGAAGAGGAAGAGACACCAGCAGTATTTGGACACAGAGGAAAGGCCACGTGAGGACACGGGGGAAGACGGCTGGCCACAAACTTAAAAGAGAGGCCTCACAGGCCAGGTGTAGGGCTTATGCCCATAATCCCAACACTTTGGGAAGCCAAGTGTGAGCATTATCACCTGGGGTTAGGAGTTCAAGATCAGCCTGGCCAACATATAGTGAAACCTCATCTCTACAGAAAAATACAAAAATTAGCTGGGTGTGGTGGCACGTACCTGTAGTCCCAGCTATTTGGGAAGCTGAGGCAGGGGAATCACTTGAACCTGGGAGGCAGAGGTTTCAGTGAGCCGAGATTGCACCACGGCACTCCAGCCTGGCCAACAGAGCAAGACTCTGTCTCTCAAAAAAAAAGAAGAAGAAGAAGAGAGGCCTCACTAAAAACCAAATTTTCCAGCACTTTGATCTTGGACATCCAGCTTCCAGAATTGGGAGAAAATTAATTTCCATTGTTTAAGGCCCCCAGTCTGTGGTCTTTCATTATGGCAGCCCTAGAAAACTAACACAGATATATATTTTACAGTCATCAGTGTACAACCAAGTGTATGCAGGCCTACACAGTCTGCTATGTGCAGTCGAATTATCTAGATTCCTAGGTGAGAACAGTGGAGAGACTTTTATTATGTCTTTGCATATTAGAATTTTTGTTAGATTGAAAATGAGAATGCATAATGTATATTCATGCAGCCAGACCGTATCTGGATATTAATTACAATAAAAACAGAATTGGTTTTATGAAGTGGGGTCAATGCATGGGTACCCTCACATTTAAAAAAATGTTTTGAACATATTCACAACTTGATTATTTCAGCTTTCAAGGGGAATGTATATAAGAGCCTGCACTTAGCCTACCTACCTATAATCGCCAAAGAAGAATATTAAACCTCGACTCCACTGTTTCAAATTAAGCTTTTCTCATGCAGTTGTTATATTCCTGTCACTTATCAAGTTACCTTAAAAAGCATTTTGTGAGTTTAATTAAGCCTGACTAATTCTCCAACAGTACAAAGAAAGATGAATTCCTTAAATATTTAATCCATCTATGACTCAAGTGTCATTTTCTGAATGTAGCTGCTAAATTCTTGGAATTAATTACCCTTTGAATTAAAGCTGCTTTTTCAGATGTTCAAGATGTATAGTCACAGTCACAGCTCACACAATGTGTAAATTCAACATCGCATCTCTTCACGAGGAGAGTTTATTGCAAAGGCTGCATTCCAAACCTCAACCTGTCCGGCTTATTTATGACCCTGGGACTAAGAAATCTTTAGTAAACTTGTTAACAATCACGCCTGTCTTTATCATAATCTCCATTCTTGGTCTTTCCTCTCCTTCCTCCTGCATGCATGTAAGAATGAGTTAAAGGTTAGCTGCCCGCTATTTGCAAAATCACTATTCCTTTTCACTGAAATTTTGTTTTCCTTAAATCACCCCAAGATTCGCCTCCTTTAGAAAAGAAATGGACTTTTCTCTATTACAATCAGCAGGTAGCACTATCATCAGCCCTTCCCTCCGGTCATATCCTTCTGAAACACTACATGAATCCGTGACTTTATTTATTTATTTATTTATTTAGAGACAGAGTCTCGCTCTATCGCCCAGGCTGGAGTGCAGTGGTACAATCTCGGTTCACAGCAACTTCCGCCTCCCGGCTTCAAATGATTCTCCTGCCTTTGCCTCCCAAGTAGCTAGTACTACTGGCACTTGCCACCACACCCAGCTAATTTTTGTATTTTTAGTATAGACAGGGTTTCACCATGTTGGCCAGTCTGGTCTCGAACTCCTAACCTCAGATGATATGCCCGCCTTGGCCTCATGACTTTAATTACACATTTTCTACTTGTTCTCTTCCACTACGCTGAAGGCTATCCAAGACTAGAAGCAATGTTCCTCAAGATGAGACTCCCAAGAACACAATGAGCTCAATTAGGCAACCACACTGATGGCGCTTCTAATAGTCCCAGAACTGGGAGTCAGTTTCTAGATTCCTGTATGAGAAAACTGGAAGATCGGATATATGAGAAGACAGAAAACCACACGCACACACACACACACACACACAGCCACAAAGACACAAGCCCACACGACCAAATCCTGCATGCTTTGGCACTTATCAGTGTAGTGCTCAGTAGTCAACTATGCCAGCACCATGCTAGACACTGAGGTTAAGAAAGTGGCTGGTTGACTCAAGTTCTAAAGAGAAAGGTGTCTTTTGATTGAAATTCACATTCCTTAAGGGATGATAAGAGATTGAAAGGCTATAAATTAGCTACTTAGCTTTCACATGTACAAGTCCCAATCTAGGGAAAGTTTATCCTCAGATATCATTTTCTAGCACTTGCAATATAAACAGTAACTGAAAAATATTTCTAGAATAATTCACTAAGCACTCTTCCTTTTCTTCCAGCACTGCCTCCCACTCATCTTGATTTAAATTAATAATTATTTACATTGAAAATCTAAAATTAATAATTATTTACACTGAAAATCTAAAACGCAAAATGGCATGTTAGAATTTCCAGTGCCAGACAATATCACCTTTTAAAATAAAGTGGAGTATGAAAATACTGTTGTTGCAAAGAAAAATAAGAATAGAAAAAAAGCAATGAAAAGAAAAAACACAAAATTCCCATGGTGTTATCCGGATGGGAAGAGCCAGCACCGGAGGGTGGCCAGGGCAGTCCCCAAGGGCCCCTGGGAGAGATGTACCTACCACCTTTCATCATTCCCACTTCGTAGCATTTGCGGAGCCGGCAGGCCTGGCAGCTCTTCCTCCGGTTTTTATCAATGGTGCACTGGTTGGTAGCTGGACACATATAGTCGTTATGTCCTATTAAAAGCAAGAGGACAGAATTAATATTATTTCAGGAAACTTAGCCAATCAGAATCTACAGGGAAACCTTTCAGAGAATATTTTCCCATCACTTCCTCAGCCTTACTATGTTGCTACTCAGCCTGCCTGCCTTTTTCTGTCCTTCTTGAAGTGCAAACAAAACCTCTCGTGGACTTAATTTCTATAGCAGCCAACTGCATCAGGAGTCCACTGGGCAAGTTGCCTTCAGTTCGCCCAGCCTATATTTTGTAGCATGATATTTTATATGGTTATGTTTTCTCAGCAGATAAGGCTTTTTGCTTTTTGATTTGTTTTGTTTTACCAAGGCTGCTTGCCAAAATAGTTGTCAGGGTAGACCTGTTAGAAATAGAATTTTCAGAGAGAGAGTTTCAAAGTAGCCCTTCTTAAAATAAAATTTAATTCAATTAAGTAGGTACTCAAATGCAGCACAGAATATCTAAATTCAAGCCGGCTTGGTGGGCTGAGTGGTGACAAAGTTCAGTCTTTTAGTTCATAAGTTCGTCCCTCACTGACTGGCTGGAGCACTCTGAGCAAGCTACCTAACATTTCTAGGTTTCACTTTCCTCCTCTCTAACCTAGAGAAAACAATGGAACCCATCACATACAGTTATTCTAAGAATTAAGTGTGAGAATATAGGTCAAGAGTTCATACCATAGTTCCCTGGGTATGGAAAACACTCAAAAGATGTTAGTTGTTGCTACTTTTATTTGTGATTAACCCTCTTTCTTTTTTCTCTTGTTGATTGACTCTCTCTCCCTCAAATGCTCCTTACTCATTGGCTTTGATCACAGTCAACACTGTCCCATAAAATAGTCTCCCTTACCCCCCATGCTCTCTAACTTCGATTTTCTGTCTTGTCCCTCCTTCCCAGATGAACTCAGAAATGTCTGCACATAAAATCTCCTTTCTTTACCTCTCCTGCATGGCTCAACCTACACCAATCTGTTTTCCACCTTAGTTACCCCGAAAAAGCAGCTTCCTAGGATCACCAATGACTCCTGTTGCCAAATTTTACAGATATTTTTTGGTTCACATCCTACACAACCTATCTGAAGCAGCCTAAGATGTTGATTCTTCGCTTCCCCCTTGAACTAGGCTTTTCCCTTGGCTTCCATAATCCCAAACACCCCAGTCCCTTCTGCATCTCAGGCTGCAGCCTCCCAGTATTGTTTGCAGATTCAATTTCCTCCATCCACCATTAAGCCAGAGCAGCTCAGGGCTCAATCTTAGGTCTTCATCTTCTCTTACTACTCCACATTCTCCCACAAGAGAACCTAATGGACGCCCATGGCTTCCATCGTCACTGAATGCAGATCACTCAGAATGTAGGCTCCCAATCCAACTGTCTTCTCAGAGCTCCTAAGATTTAGAAGTCACCTCCATCCCTTTATCCCTCAAAAGGAATCTGGTTTATAGGGAACAGAATATTAAAATTCACAAATTAATACATATTGGCATGTTTCTATAAAGTCTGTTTGCATAAGTCTAAATTCTTACATGCCTTGGAGAAATGTCCTGAATTTGGACTAAGGAAATTATGTATACTATTGTAAAACATGTTTCTCATTCTCCCACTCCAAAATTGAATATATATTCCACACTTTAATTCTGATTCTCTGCTTACGTCTCTATTTTTTTCATTTACAAAGGGCAAGATGCAACCTGTAGTGAAATGTTTTAACTACAGAACTCTTTGTTGTTTATTCAACTCAAGGGTCAGGCGCAATTAGGAGAGGGTGGAGTGAGGACTTGACAAGAAAGGCTAGTCTCATAAAACTTGGTTTTCCATCTTTGAATATACTTTATAAAAGTCACTGTACAAATGGGCTACAGATCAAATTAACGTTTGCACTCTTCTATTGCATAACAGAAACCGGAAAACTAGTCAGCAGAGTTATAAACCTGTAACTTCAATAAAAGACCACACACGGACTCAGATATCCAGACATAGTTATTATTTTTATACTTGTCCTTATTAATAGGGTCAAACTGAGGAAGTGATAGAACCAGAAACAAAACTTATCTGTGCAGATGTTAACTGCAAGCAAAAAGTATATTCTTCCGATACCTTAAAGAAATTTTCAGTGTTTAGTCTCCTGTGATATTTATGTAGTATATGCTGATATATTTTAGCTTAAAAAAAAAAAAAGGAGTAGATAGCCAGGTGTGGCAGCTCACGCCTATAAACCCAGCACTTTGGGAAGCTAAGGTAGGAGGATAGCTTGAAACCAGGAGTTTGAGACAAGCCAGGGCGACATAACAATATCTTGTCTCTACAAAAAAAAAAAAATATATATATATATATATATATATATATATATATATTAGCCTGGCATGATGGCACATGCCTGTAGTCCTAGCTACTTGGGAGACAGAAGAATCACTATGAGCCCAGGAGGTCCAGGCTGCAGTGAGCTATGACTGCACCACTGCACTCCAACCTGGACAACAGAGCAAGACTCTATCTCTGAAAAAATAAATAAATAAATTAGTATACATTAAGTTTCAGAAGAAAATAGTCAATAACCATTCAAACCAAATATTACTTTGCCTTGCTTTCTCTCCAGAGCCAGTTACTTTGTAAGCCAGAAGAAGGTGGGAGAACTGAATTGGGTCAGAGGCCAGTTGGCTGAGGCTCATGTTTGGATTGGCCATCCACGTAGATGTGTATCACAATGGAATTCATCTCAACAAAAATGGAAATGGACATACAACATAATCATGTACATACTGCAAACCTTTTGTGACAAAGCTAGAATTGATAAACTGGCAAAAAAAATTTAATAAATACATACTTGATATAAGCAATTAAAACAAATTCTTCTTAAACAAGCACCATTAACAACTATCAGAAGAAGAAAAAAAGCAAAGTAGGTTTTTTTCCTTAACGAGTATAACTTGGTTAATATGTGTTATTAAAGCAATTGATTTAAGTTACATTAAGAAGAAGTTCTTTTAAAATTTTGTTACTTGATCTTATCAAAATAATGCATGAGAAAATCTTATTGAAGTAGAGTTGATTTTCTAAAAAAAAGACTCACACCAGTTGTCTTAGTGCAGTGTGGGGTTTTTTTTTTAACTGAAGAGACAGGACTGTATGTACGTGATCAGATTGGCCCCAAAAGTCCTTCTGTGCAGGCTGGGATGAACCCAGCCCAAAGGGCCAAAGCCACAATGTGACGTTCAGGTGAAGGTTTGGAAAAATAATCAGCACTATTTTCTTGCCCGCCAAAAAAATAAAAATAAAAAGCCTCTGGAGGAATCTAGGGTTTGGCCAGTAGGAAGTGGAGGGGACAGAAGGTGAATGAGATGGAACCAGAAAGAAGGAAGTGGGGAGAGAAGACGCCTGTGAGCAAGAATTGCCAGGCCCACCCCAGCTCCTGCAGCAACAGAATGACCCACATTCAGCTTTTCTCCAAGCTTCCCTTTTTCTTTTTCATTTTCCATCTCTTCTTATTGTCCCTCCATTGGTAGAAGGTGGCTTAGTTTTGTTGTCATTACACAGAAGTCTACATTTGTTAGTTATGAAAATAAATAATGACGGGGCCAGGTGTGATGGCTCATGACTGTAATCCCAGCACTTTGGGAGTCCGAGGCAGGTGAATCACAAGGTCAGGAGTTTGAGACCAGCCTGACCAACACGGTGAAACCCTGTCTCTACTAAAAATACAAAAATTAGCTGGGCATGGTGGCAAGCTCCTATAATCCCAGCTACTCAGGAAGCTGAGTCAGAAGAATCTCTTGAACCCTAGAGGCAGAGGTTGCAGTGAGCCAAGATTGCACCATTGCACTCCAGCCTGGGTGACAGAGCAAGACTCTGTCTCTAAATAAATAAATACCCATACCTATGCAGAGATTCAAAAGGAATATAAAGGCAGGCCAAGCCGTCGCCTTAGAGAAAGCCAATATGATATTGCAGGTCTCTCTTTTTGTCTCTCTCTTCCCTCAGTATTTTCTGGCAGTCACCTCAGACCAAATCTCCTTCCTGAGCTTCTGACCTGTACGTCCACCTGCCCCCATCCATCAAGACTTGACTCTCACACTCGTCAAGATGGATGTGCCCCAGATAGATCCGACAACTATCCTCTTTCCTCACCAGTGTGTTCCTATTCACTTCTTAGCTGAATCAAGAAATGTCTGCACCTGAAGCCTGAAACATGGGCTTTATCGTAGATTCGAGCTTCTTCCTCATTCAACCCTCCCTCCCCACCCCTGACAAAGCCACACAGACCAAAACAAATATTTACTCATTATTTTTTTAAAGCAAAACCATTTCTGCCTTGAGCACTACCATAGTCCCTACCTTCTCTAGCCCAGATCATTACAGCCAGATCATTACAGCCCACCACATGACACTCCGCCTCCAGCCTTCCCCTGCCAATCATTCCCCACCATGTCGTCACAGTAATTTTCTAAAATCATATGCCATCATGTAAATATCCTGCTTCAATATCCTGAGTCTCCTCCCAGCTCTAAAAGTGAAATCTAAATGCAATGCCTTCGCACAGTTTGCAAAGCTCTCAACACATTTCCTTGCCTTCTCTCCCCACTCTAATTCACACCCAAGTTCCAGCCACATCTTTCTGTTGACACACGCCATGCTTATCACCCCCAGGACTTTGCACATGCTCTTCTTCCTCGTGGAAACACACTTTTCCTCCTCTTGGTCCAACTGACTCCTACTCATCTTTGAAGTGTGCCAGTCAAGATATCAATTCCTCTGTACCATCTTATCTGCCCTTCCAGCTATGCTTAGTTTGTGTCTTATCATAGCACTTACTATGTTGGGTTTTAACTGCTTGTCTCAATACCCAGATCAGTTTAGGCCTGGCAAGAGGTGGACCATATCTGTCTCATTTATTGCTATTGATTCTAAGCCCAGCACATTCTCACACACATAGCAGAGCTCAACAAATGTCTAATATCTGAACAAATCAAGATGCTAAAGCTCCCTTCACCCCCAACTTCATCTGTG